TTTGCAGCAATAATATATAGATGAAATAGGTAAAGGCAAAGTAAAAAACTTTAAGGTCGGGATCCTGGATTTATCGAATTAAAAGAACCTGCCTACACATGCAGCCTCTGCTATCTTCAGGACGAAGCTTCGTCCATGGTTTATCGGACCGATTAAGGTTGTAGCCAAACGAGGCCTGGCGTGCACGCTAAACCTTCCGAAACGGGTGCGCACCCACCCGATGTTTGACAAAGGCTTGCTCAAGCAGTACCGGGAATCCGGCTCATGTGATCGCGGGAGCGTTGGCGCCGGAGCGGATACCACGGGCCCTCGACCACCCAAACGCTTTCTTAGCAGCTAATTCTGGGCACGGAGTGCCACAACCTCCATTTGTAATGGCGACAAGCGCTCCAACGTTGCATGCAGCGACGCATTCGCCTGCCTTCCGGCTAGGTGTTGCTTCGACAGAGCGCTCCAACGTTGCATGCAGCGACGCATTCGCCTGCCTTCCGGCTAGGTGTCGCTTCGACAGAGCGCGGTAATCCCAGAGGTGTGGCAGCCGGCGCACGACATAATTAAAATCCCCAAAAGTGTCCGCCCAGCGATATGCTACTTCGGCATGACGCTCAGCGGCGATCCGATCACGACGGACCACTCCTCTAGGGCTCGAAGAGCATCACGAGTCACCGGACGGCGGTCGACTCGGTCGTCACCGCCTGGCACCGACTCTTCTCGATGAGAACAGTGACGTCCACTATTACGTGAAACGACTAGTGAGACGACGTCGTCACCAGGGTCAGACCCAATATCTGGTGAAGTGGCGGGGATATCTCGGCTCTGAAAACTTGCGGGGGGTTGGAGGCGCCACTTCGGCAAGATTGTCCAGTCGCCGTGGACGATTTTGATTGGAAAGATCAGACGGCCCGCGTCATCAGACGCCCCGCTCTTCCCGGCAATAGCCAGGAAAGTAGAAGAATCATGAGCTGAGTTCAAGCAGTGGCCCAGAGCTCTTTCGGTCGAAGACACAGAGTTCGCGGGAGCATAAGTGATTAACCCATACGTCGCAAAGCGACAATCCGAAGGAAGTCGACAGCGTGCCTTGAATTTGGCAAACTCAAATCGGAGGTGTCGCTCGACACGCATGTCTACTTCCTTGTGGCTCAACTGTAAATTATACAGTAAGGAGAATTTCCGGTGCCGTTGCACCCATCGCTCAAAGAGCGCTTCGTGCTTTCGCCAGGGGCGAGCACTACAGGTATCGTCCGCATTGCGGGTACACGAGAGCCACGTCGTTGAGCACGAAGATGAGTGCGATAAACATTCAACGGAATTTCTTGTGGGACCAAGAAACGAGCTAGAAGAGTCTTTCGTGTGGCAAGTTTATCATCCGTTCTGGCCGGAAGCACGATAATGTGGACGTGTAACGATCGAGTTACTGCGTCCTTCGCTTCCACAGCAGTATCCGCTTGGTGGAAGCCATATTCTACACGAGGGTCAAATACCGGCCGTGGATGGGCGCGCTTTAGAGCGGTCTTCTGGGCAGCTTCCAGCTGCCGCCTCTGCTCCCCATCGAGGTCATTGGTGATCACACCACGTCCCTCAGTTGACGATAAGTAACAGAACGGACACGGGGTCCGCAAGGCGCCAGCAGGGCTTGTATCACGCCGCCCTTCCTCGTCTACCCATGCGGGAAAAGAAATGTCAGACTCATAGTCGACCACCTCTACATCCTCAACGAGGCCACTCGGCACTGAAAGCGTGCGAAAAAGCGACGCTTGTGCTTACGAGCCTAGGATATACATTCCTCGGTGCTGCAGACGCACTGTCCGACGTTGCACCACGTGCGGAAGACGGAGTTGGGCTCTGCCTGTGCTTGCCGTCAGAACCAGCGAAACTTGGAGATTTTGGTGTCATTGATACATAGCTCATTGAGCACGTAAGTCGTTTCGATTTAAGGCAGTGTCTAACGGACACGCAAGCATCGTTGAGGCAATAATCGATTGGAACTGTGAATGCTCTCAACCTTAAAATGAGAGAGAGTGTAACGGGGTCACACATACCCTGGTAACAGGGTGCGTGTCACACCAGATGGGCATGATGTGACCACACCCAAACAAGAATACGGTACAGGGCTAGATAGCCAGTAGTTATACATGTATAGAGATTTACTATATAAAATCAGGCGGTTTAGCCGCAAATAAATATATGAGAGAATAAAAATAATGCCCCAACTTTTGCCTTATATAAAAAAATATCCCAACTTTTCAAAAAATAAAAAAATACCCCGGCACGTAAATTGTCACCGGGGAGCCGTAATATTACACAACAGAAGATTTATTGTATTAGGAATGAATTAGCATA